GACCGAGGATTCTTCCGGAGGCGTGAGAAATTCTGTTTGAGACGTTCTTCTTTTTGACCCGCGCACACTGTTCACCCTTTCGTCTTCTCATCTATAATGCTCACAGGCGGCTGAGGAATTCTTTGGGAAGTATCGTGGAATTTATTCCCGAAAAACGTCGCGAGCTCGGATAACATTATCCACAGGCCTCGCAGGCGCACTTTTGTTCCAATCAGTGACGAGACTGGGATTGTTCTCGTTTCTGTGTCGAGCCAAACCCCGTTTCTTCCTTTCCAATGAGAGCTCTGAGATGTTTGATAGAAAAAAAAAAGCCATGAGCTCCGTGGGAGCGCTGCGGAAGCTCTCCGCTCGGTGTTTTTCTGAAGAAGGGCCTAGGTACCGATGATTGGCACCTGACCTTCGTAACGAGATCATGAGACGGGAAGATAATATTACATAATTTTTCCCATATCAACATGTCGACCGTGGTTCTGCTCGCCGGGATTCCAATACTGTATTCATCGAGCATTTCTGAACAGAGGCGCTGGGCCGCGAGCGAAAGTGAACGGGTCGTCAGTGAGAATCGGGGGAAGGCCTCGTCTTCGAGCTGGAGAAAAAACTTTCGACCATGCTCCATGAGGCGCGGGACTTCGAACCGAATTGGGAACTTTCCGCCCAACGCGACGTGACAAGAAGTTGTGTCAATTGAACTACCGGGTCGGATCCTTCCGAGAAATGTCGCTCGTTTTCTTCAATTCAACGTATTCCATTACCGGAAAACCCAGTCTTCGATCACTGACTTCTGGCCGGTATGATCGTACCAGGCGGTTTGTGGAATATGTCGCTCAACAAGTCTCCGTATCCGCTGAGATGAAAAGATAGAGGAATGTTTCGCGATGTATGATAAAATTCATTTATTACAAAGTTGCTTTGCCGTCACGACAGACTTAGTGGGTCTCGATGCTCAGTGATGTTCTTCCTCTTGTGGTCGACGCTTGTCTATTCAGAAACTTCCAGGTCAACAAAATGAAACATCAGCTAGATTGTGAGACAATGTAATACGATATTTAAGCTAGCGGAAGAGAACCCCTAGTCGCCCAACCACCCACAGAAGCATCGTTTCTCCTTGTCGGCCGGACCCACAGTACCACGACGAAAACGTCAGCGGCAGCCACGGCATCGGACAATAGACAATTATGTTGACAACAGGCTTGTCGTTGGCTTGTGTGTGATACCTCGGTCCACCTGTCGCGGCTGTTTCATATGAAAAGCGCGCGGCTTGCGAACGCATCCCCTGCCACAAAATCCTCATCTCGGAGGAAGAGCGCGGGCTCTTGTACGCACCATGCAGCGAGGCAATTCTGAGCGAACCCGCAATCAGCTCGTTGGGGATCACTGGAGACTCATCTCGCGCTCGAGAAACAAGCTTGTCGTGACCCTCCCGTCGATGCTCCCATCCGCGCGAGGCGGAAGTCTGTGCCCGAGGAGAAGCGTAGAAATAGAGATCATCGCGAGGAGCCGCTTCCCAGAAATTATTTCGGAGCAGCCTTCGAACCGATGGGTTCCGAGGGCCGAATAGTCGCCATGCTGACTTAAAACGCGAGACTCTGAGTCGCAGCGGATCTGACTGCTGAAGCTTCAGGGTGGAGGGATGTCATTCAACCGGGTTGACAATTCGTCGACGACATACTTTTCCTCTGAATCGTCTTCTGTCGAATACTCCATGAAAGAGATGGACTAGATCGGGGCCTGAGCTCGAATACGCCTTGGATCATCCGTCAATCTGGACTAAAACCATTATCGGATGCGGAATCTAATTCATCACGGATCGGCTCCACCTCGTATTCCAGCATCTACGGAAATTTCAAACTCCGTCAGCCTTGCTCCGGGAGCGATCACCGTTTTTCGAGATTGAAGTATTTGGTGCGGATTTCCCAATCCCTTTCCATTTAGAGCTCCCGATGCAAGGAGCTTCTCGTCTCTTAAAACGAGCTGAGAACGCTGCTGTCACGTGATTTTCCATAGGACCCTCCCGCTGGGAACTGACGCCGCGAACGCCGGTCCCGTGTCCGGAAAACACGGTCTCGCCTGTATCGAACATCGAAGAGCATCCGAACCGCTGTGAGCGCTTCTGAGAAAGATTCAGTAAGAATGCTTTCGTCTTCATATCGTCTCCGACCTTTTTGACATCAACGACAGCGATGGGTTTCGGAATATTCCCTCGAAAAATCGATGTTGTTCGTTCGAGAGATTCAATGAGCCTATTGTGATAGTCGGGTCATCGTTGAGTGAAGTCGATCAAACTTGATGATCGCGTCGGTATCGTTCAATGTCAGTGATTCGACCGACCGCCTGACGGAAAGCAACGAGAGGGGGGACGGAACCGGACCGAAGTCTGGAGAAGATCGAAAAACACGAAAAGAATCTGAACGCGGAACCGTTCAGTGAATCGGCGATCCAGGGCCATGTTCCGTTGGAGGACATGTTTCTCGTACGTCATTGATCTCCCAGCTGATTCGTCGAGCGTACATTGATGGATTCATTCGACGAAGAGAGATAGATCCCATGAGACCGAATAAGGTTTCGCGGACAAGTGTATTTTTCCCCAAAGAGTCGCGGCAACCAATCCTCGATATCTCCTAGACCTCTTCGTGGTGGGACGCTACTCGAGAAATGATCCACGTCGCATCTGTTTTTGTCTTCGGCTGCGACGTCATCCAGGAAGTCCCTGACAAGGAGATCTCGTCTGGCTGAGGCCGACAAATGATTTCAAGTCAAAAATTCATGGGGCCCCCGTCGACGTTACGGTATGTGTCGTCCGTCTCTCTTTCTGTGTGTTCTGGTGACATAGGACAAACGATGAAGAGAAACGGATCCGTTCGTCGGCACCGCCCTTCTCAAAATTCTCGTCCGGTTTCTCCCGTTTTTGTGACTCTCGAGTTTTGTTACTTTTCTCAAAACGCGATGCTCTCATCGCTGACCGCAGCACAGACGACGACCAGAAGTCGAAGACGATTAATGCAAAGCGGCTTGACAACGCGTGCGACCGCCATTCAGCTCACTTTCCCGTTCAGTTATCCATTCATTCATTGATCTTCCCATCCGTTCCTCTATTCATCGCTGCAAATACCCTACTGCCCATTGAGTGATCCTGGTCTCGAGAGCAAAGAAAATTCGAGGGCTGGTTTGGTCTACAGGAACTCCCAACACTGGCCTATCCGCAGCTGATCATTCCTAATTGTAAGACAGACGTCATCCTAGTGGACGACATGTGCTCCTGTCTTGATAAATCTGAAGATTCCTGTCTCTGGCCTGAATATTCGCTGGTCCGATTCCCACGGCGGGGAATTAATTTAGGACGAGTTCCGGGCTCCCCCTCTCTTAGGATTGTGAAGTCCGAGTTCTCCAGAACACATAGACCCCGGTCGGTGCGGCCCCAGTCGGCGCAATCAATTGGCTCGCCGATCCTTGCGAGAGATGCCGATGAATCGTCTCGAATTTCCTACGGTAGGCATAGGCTTTGATGGAGGTACTACCTGATGGACACACTTGGAATGATACTTGATATGAATGACAGAGGCTTATTCGCGTAGAAATCAAGGAAAGTTCCAACGTCAATCGGATTTTCATATCGAAACGAATGTCGATTCCCGGCACGCGCTCTGACATTTCCGAATAGGCCGACCGCTGTGAAACAGAGAAGAACGGTATTTTATCTGAACTTGCTGTCGTCTTCGGTTCTCGATGCATTTCCGACTTATCGTTGTTTCCGATGGTGGCGGTGACAATCATTAACACCTCTTGCTGTCACTGTCTTGCAACTTCAAAAAATGACAACGGATCGATCTGCGGGTCCCATCGCTCTTCAGGGATGGTCTTCCAGATTCCAGAACGTGATTCTTTTCCACGGATGAAGGGCGAGAAATTTGAATATTCGATCCATTAATCCGGAGTTGAGACGGAGAGATTGCGTACAAGAAAGAACCCCGAAGGTTTGATAATGCCAAATCGGATTCCCGAGTAGAGAGGCGGTCTAGGAACCTTTGAGTCAAACGAGCGCAAGTCTCAGCGCAACCAGAAGAGGGGCTGATAACGGCGAAGAAGCGATCCCGACAAGTCTGTTTTCAGTGAAAGTATCGGTTCCTGCAAACGTGACGCCATTGTGTGAAGGAAGCGAACAGTTTACATAAGTTACGCGCGTGAGGGGATGCTCAGATGCGTTGACTGGTCACATCCGAACGCTATGACAAGCGCGCGACTATGTCTGAACGAGATATTGTTGTTGTTGTTCTCTTTCTCTATGCGATTCTTCAACTTCCTGGCTTTGTCCGAGCAAGGCCCGCTTCGTCCACTTATTGACCTCCGACCTTGTCTCGCCCGTCGTCCCCTCGTGTCTGCGCGGAACCGCGTGTCTGTCTTAAATGCTCGACGATGGGAAGAAACTCAGTCACCTTCATCCCACGGTTATTTTTCATCTTCCCACATTTCCGGACTGCGACAGGTGAATCGGAAGAATAGCGGAATATCGGAAATCGGTCCTTGCTTTCGAGGATTGCGAATGAGGAGCTCGAGGTTTTCCAATGAGGATGGGAAGCAGCTCTGTCCCAGCGACGAGTAACGCGGATGGGGGAGATTCCGGATGATTGTGGTCTGCGGGTTCCTCCTTTGTCCTCCGGCTCTCTTCGATTGAGCTGCTAACACCGTTCGACAACACCCGCGATTCGGGAACAGATCGAGCGAAAAAAGCAAGGATCCCGCAAGCTTGACTAATTTCAGTCAAACCCACGTATCCGGGGGCGCGCTCCACTTCTTCGGACGACAGATAACTTTCTAAAAAAAAATAGAATTCACTAATGAACAGACCGACGCGGAAATATCGATGGCCTTATCTGGTCCTTTAATGAGGCTCTCTCCCTCCTCTCGGCGCGTCGAATATGATTAGAAGGAGCGGGATATACAGTCTTCAAGCGCCTGACGCGGAGATCGAACCACCCATGCTCAGCCGTCTCTCTATGTTTCAGGCAACCTCCGACAGTGAACGGTGACGTGTGGCATCCGTACACGACGAACAAACCTCATTACCTGCAGGTCTGTAGTTTTCCAACATCGCAGGCTGTAGGCGGATGCTGCGCACCTGATTATCAGATGCGACTCCCCGTTACATGGAAATCGGATGACGAGCCCAAATTCCAACCTTTCAGATCACAGCAAAAAACTACACGGTGCATAAAAGTTCTATGCGTCCAGGATACTGCGAATTCTGGAGAGCGTATCTTCTGCCGAAAAAGCTCTGAGGAACCCCACGAGAACCTCAGCTCTCACACTGTCCAGAGCTACTTCATCCGCTTCATCTGCTGTCGGATCTAGAATCCATCCCCGAATGAGCTCAGCAACTTTCCAGACTCCCCATGTCTGGTTCTGTACTGGCATGCTCGCAGAGCAACGATACGATCGGGACACTTGATAAATCCCATTCTTCTCTAGACGTTTCCGACTTCTGCTGGATGCGATGCCATCACTCCGGCATCTGTGGACAGCTTGCTGCTTTGAAGTTCGGCTTGAGATATCTTTAGAATTCCGCGCGAAGATTCTCGATAAGGCCTCGGCAAGTCGTGCCCGTCGGTGTACGTTAGTGCACGTTATCACACCTTCCATCTGTATGTCCACGGAGAAGGGTCACCATATTTATTGTTCGTTCGGCTCATCAGAAGTCACCGAAAGAGCGGAGAAGTGTCGGAGAGCTCCATAACCGGGGATCGGAATGCAACGTCATTCTCTTTCGTAGAGTTTGATTTCATTCATGAACCTACGCAATTTTCCAACTTTATTTGTCTCCGGAAACCTTGCCGTATCCCCGGTTATGTGCTTGGAGTGTATATACATCATCCCGCGGAAGTTCAACGAGGATCGACCTTATTCACAAAAGCCATGTCCCGACTATTGAAGTGGGATTCTTCCCTGAACGCTTAGTTCAGAATCCTGACACGTGAACCTTTTGATCCGCTCACAGGTGTCTCCTGATGCCTGAGCTGTGGTTGGTCGCGGACTTTACCACCCCTGACGAATGTGACATTTCGAGTCGTACGAGAACATAAACGAGAACGCACAATTTGAAATTTTTCTCGCATACGTGATGTTCATCGAATCAGATGCGGGCTGGAGCTGGAGCCATACATATATGGGAATGATTATCAGGGGAAGGAGTTTCCAAGCCTCGTCGCTGCTCTGGGGTACTCTCCCATCATAGTGGACATATCGCTCCGTTGTTACGTTTTATATTTCACCGGAAATCATCACCTTGTACTACATCATTGCGAGAGACGCCTTGTAACTGAATCCGAATAAAATGATCTTGAACATCGTAAATTCGTCCGTCATCCCGGACGTCGGAATACCCGGTCGCATTGATGAAGAACGCTGCTTGCACGATAAGCGTGAAGCATTGAAACATAAGGAAATGGATGTTCCGGAATTCGTGTCTTAGGGACGAGGTCTCGGACCAATTCCGAGACTGAGTTTGACGATTCTCAGCGAAGGGTGTTCTCCCAAGGAGAGAGAACTCGATCTGACTTGAATTGAGTTGAAGGCCCAGATTATATCTCCCGGGGAACGAGCAATCTTGGATCCTATTCCGCCAAATCTCATAATTTCCGTTACCGCCCGATGATGCCTGTAATTGTTGCAGCGGGTGCGCAACTCTAGTAGCACCATGACGGAACTCGCGCTATGTTTGCTGTCACGATACCTGAATCAGATCCTACGCCGAGTGGAGCGGCACGATAAAGAGCTTGCGTTGCCGGGGAAATAGCACCCTTTCTTCGCCATCTGACTGGTCAGAGAGCTGTCCGAACCCGGTCCTTTTCTCTCGAGTAGAGCGCGGGACGATATCGGAGGTCGAATCATAGAATGAAAAACCTTCAAAAATCGGAGGCTCGCATGTGTGTTTGAAGTCAACCGTCAGCTTCTCCCCTCGTGCAGCATATGGGATTTTTCGCACTAGGGGTTAAATGGAGCTCTTGAGAGCCAGACGGTTAGATCGTCTTCGACTGGATGATTGGAGCTCCCTCTTCCTTTCCTCGTACACCCGTGTCCTACTGATGTGGTCGAGCATCGGTGGCCTATAATCGTAGGACCTCGTATGGTATGGTATGGTGTTTATTGATCCAGATTCCCCATATATGTACATAGATTAGAGTGTTTATATGCACACGTCGAATCAGCCTTTCATATCAGGCGCGAGTTTCTCAGCAGATCGATGTCAATCCCAGTCCTCGATGATTCTTTTTGTCCTCGTCCCGCAGGGTGCGTTATCCGTTCTTTCACATATGGGAAGGAAAGCGAATCTATCCATCCCGCTGAAAATACTATCCATCCCGCTAGTATCAATACCAGCGATCTGTTCTCATGAGCCGAAGAAGTGATCCGAGGGAAGATGAGCGATGTTTCCGGGAAAGCTTCTCCGAGCTTTTTTTCCGACACGATAACCAGTGACGACTCAACCATCCATCTCTCGCCTGACAAGTCAGCACCCGGGTACTTATCCCACCGTGCTCTATCGAGGATCCGTCGTATATAATGGACTGAGTATTGATCTCTCCTGTTCCAGGCTGCGCAAGAGCTCTGCGATTTTTCTCCAGTGTGTTGTCTCTCTTCTAAACTTCGGGATAATCTGCTGATGAGTCTTCCCTTTCTTTTCTCACACCTTGCGGGGAGAATAATCTAAGTTTATTTCACCACAGGACCGCAGTCCCAGAAAAGAAGTGAGTGTTCTTTGATGTTGTGGGGGACGATTCTTCGACGCTTCCGGAAGGTCTAGACTATCGAAAGAAATTCTTCACAGGAGCTCGTGGTCGAAAACGTTCTTGACGTTTTTCGTGGCAGCTGATATCATCTTGATTATACTCTTCGCTCTCGGTGCTTTCAACTTCGCGAAGAGAGTCACACCACTCGATGAGAACATTGGAGGCTCTACCAGGAATTGGTGCACCTTTCAAGAGAACGATGTCGACTTACTATCGTTCCATCGATTCAGGGATACCATAAGACATTTTGAGTACCGCTTCGCTTCGTACAGCCCAAAAGAGTATCTACCCAGCCATGCCTTGAAGGTTGTTCATCAGAACCGGCTAATAGTCCTTAAGTGATTTCCGTAGGCGACGATGGAGGTCTCGGAATATGCTTCGGCTCCGCGGAATACCGCACCGGGCTCCATGGGTCCAGAGGATAGAGGATTTTGAGATCTAGAAATCATCGTCGATGAAGTCCGAACAATCCCAGACCTCCGGCCTCGATTGTATTGATCATTCCCGAATCATAAGAGGTGTTCCTCGATCTTCCTCAGTGGAGTCTCTTGAACTACGAAATTCCCTTCCCATCGGATGATTTAGCCGAACTTCACGCCATCGTCGTCGTGGCCCACCCACTCAGCGAATATAAATTGTACATGATTGCAATGAGATTCATGCATGGAAATTATACTTCGAAGAATTATACAGAGTTCCGTTTAGAGCACTGGAGCGGCGTGCACCGGTTCGAAAGCTCTCTCATCCGGTACGTGAGGTCTCCAATCATTGAGGTCGTTTTGTCATCATTATCATTTCTCATGGGCGGGACCTCTTCTAATCCCAGGAGTCAAGCTGAATACTTCAGGAAGAGACTAGAATTCAATATAAAGGAGATCGACAAGCACGGAAGTATTTTCACGAAGGACGGGAGAACCCTCAAATTCGACCTTCACATCGAGCGGTTCCCGAACTTTAACCAGACCGGCTATACTTTCTCTGTTTCATTGCCGTCCTCGAGAGGGATCAACGAGGTCGTAGCATCTAGCTTTGTGAGTTGGCCGATGTAACATACTTAAGGATCCAATCATTGATTCCCTGATTACCTGTTCGGATCTTCGGCGCGATCGATCCATTGTCTTGCTTGATTAAATTCCCTATGAGAACCCTAGAATCCTCTCAAGACTCTAGAGAACCCCCGCGATGGACTCAGCTTGGCCGAGAATCTCCTCCGTCTGCTCATTATTGAACCGACTCGATGAGTAGCGAAGTCGAATTATAGAAACGCTTCATTCTCGTTTCAGTTCGACAGGAAATCCGTCTTCAGGAACGAGTTCTACATATTCCAATATCTGAGCTTCGCCGACGATACATTAGCGACGTACAAGGCCAATTCCAAGCCTATCTGTACCCTGCAGACGAAAGGCAACATACAGAGTCTCTGCAGACGCCCGAATGGAGGAAACGACTTCTGCTCGGCGGACGAGCCCGAATGGATCGAGGGGGACTCGAAGGACATCGCCTATACACCTGCGGCCTCTCGCTATCAGCGCAGATAGCGCAATTATCTCCGAAAGCCCCATAATCTTTTCCGATATCTCCACGCCCGCTCATTCAGGGCGGTAGACTAGTCGGCGCTATTGGGGTGACGAATCTCTGATGCTCCGGAATATTGTGCCTATTCCCTCGATTATATAACTTCGATTCAGATCGCAATGAATCAATTAGCGATTATTCGAACTGCAAGATACTTACTACCGCGAAACCTCGTAAGGTCGGACTTGAAGCGACCGGCCTAAACGGTCCGTTATATCCAATGTGCGTTTAATACGAATCGAGTTCTAATCGAAAAAAACCGTGAAAAACGTCAGAAACACCGTCGCAGGCTTATTGACGACGCGCCAAAGGATGAGTAACTCTACTAGGAAGCTAGCATGGGAGTAGATGAGACCAGGGCCTAAGAATCAGTATGTTGTATCAGAAAGTCCATTAGGAGGTCATTTATAGTCGAGTCTATTAACATTGGAGATCCCGCAGGCATGTCCGGGCCCGAGCAATCAGTCTCGCTATATCCGTGTCCTTCGTAACCAGGGTCCACCTAATGGCATGGCCGAAGTTCCCCCCTCCCTAGATCCGCCGCAGGCAGCGCTGATTGGCCATATTGAATCTGCGATGACGTCATGTGACAGCCGCGAGACATACCGGGGAGAAACTTGGGGTATTCCGCCTTTTCTAAAGAACGGCCCTCAGGAATGCATGAGAATTCACGTAGGCAAATGACGAAGAGTTACCGTACTGATTGCGCGCATGATCAGGGAGAAATCATGAAGTGAAATAGTAAGTAGATAAGGTGCAAAAGACAGGCGAACAGACATTGCGCTTCCATCAGGAGAAAGGGGGGAGACCTCATCGTTGAACCCACGTAGCGTTCGCGCACACTCCACGGGCGATCGACCGCATTACGATTCCTCAATGCACCCGCATACCTCCTCGGGCAATATCGAGCGACGGACATCCCCTAAAGGCGGGAGAAAACCGTCGGCTTCCCGAAAAGAGAGATCCTTGAATATCGCTTCCTCGGAGAGAGGTCCAAGATCCGAGTCATGGATTATGCGGGATATGCAGGTATTCACGACCGAGGGGAAGACGTTCACTATTCCTCCATGGCAAAAGTGTCACTGAAACCTCGTTCGAGCTCAGAGTTATCGAAGTCTGACCTCCAAGATTCCATTCCACAGTAAGTTGTCTGTAGCTGAACAAAGCGTGATCGACATTATTTTCCCGCTCCCTTGTTTGCCGTTTCGTTAATGTGAATCGCTCTGGGCCCTTGGAAACGAACAGCCTCGATCCTCTCAAGCGAAATCATCCGTCCATGCAGAACAAAACGCCGTCGCGGGAGAAGCTGTTCTTATCAATGCCTGCTCATTGTCAGGCTTGCTTATCGATAATTCATCTTCTGATCGAGCTGAGGCTCGAAAATGTTAAGCTGCTCTAGTCCGGATCAATGCGTCGAACGTTCTCCCGGGGACGCGAGCTCTCCGGAGGATCTCCCGAGGGCTCCGAATTCTCCAGAACAAGACACACGGATCTATCTCAACCACTTTCCGAAATAGATGAGATAGTCGGAAGCGCTTCTCGAGGCTCTCGTCTTTTCTTTCGTATCACTTATCAGCAACTCGAGAAGAAGCGAGGCCGATAAGCTTATCTTCTGTTCGTCCGACGGTCCCGCGCGGATTCCGGGATCTGATGTAATGCACCATCGGCAGATTCCTAGAGCGCATCCATCGGAGTAGCCGCGACGCGCGTATCAATGAAATCTGTATACGACTGTTTTTGTGGAACGACAAGCGATCGAGCGAACTTCCCAGGCCGTCGGCGCTAAGGGAATATCCCACGGGAGCACTCCGAGAAGACGACATCATCTGGATGATGGCTCAGGCGGACTCCGCATCCGGCAGGGTCACCTGCTCCTAGTTGGTCAAACCTCGGTGACTTCAGAAACGAGCAGGGAAATTTTACGCATGAACTCCCGAATGCATGGATATAGCATCTCAAAACTATGATGGATAGTCCTGGAGGATGCCGGGGGAGTGGGACATATTTGAATAAAGCGAGACTGAGGAACAGTATTCATTTATTGCAAACTGTGAGAAGTCCGAAAAAATCGGAGCCCCCAACTCATCTGCATCCGTCTTTGGGGTTTGAATTGAAAACGGATGATTGTACAGAACGAATACGAACTCGCTTTCGGGATTCGCTCCGCCGCGGATCAGATGCCTCTCCCGACAGGCGCTGTAAGAAATTTGGGTTCTCCGAGTACTGAAGGCCTGCATGTTAATTTTCCGATTTTTCGACCTTTCCGGAGACGCTTATCTGAGACGTATCACATATCACCTGGATATCTCAGTCCTCCCGGGGTAGCTTTTTCCTCCCGGTCGACCCAGTGGTTGACTTTGTTGGGGTTCTGCGTCGCCTGGTAGTTCGGGAGACGGGCCTTCTGGAGGTTCGCCGAGTGGTGGACCGGATCGGAGATCTGCTCGGGTCTTGAAGCGGCGTGGAGGAAGTCCTGGAGGTGAATAGTGTAGATATTCTGGCAGGCGACTTCGGCGAGGTCTTATAAGGTGATTTCGTAGGTAGCCGCCTTGATGGATCCGCTGGATCGAAGAGATCATTTGGAGCTCATCTACGCAGAGGCTCATCCGCCTCATGACCGGGGACTCATGCTGGGATCCATCACTAGGAATAAAGCAGAAAACTTGCCATCCTTGGCTTTGGTGAACTCCTTCAGAATATCGATATCGTTATCAATAAGAGTTTCCGGCCCCTCCGAAATCACGTCCCAAACAAAAAGTGAAACACAGCAAACGGTGATGACCAGCACGAGATTCTTCCTGGTTTCCTGCGATTCCTCAGATGAAGTTCGATACCAAGGCGAAAATCGGTCTCCCCCAAGGGTACTGGCGGTAGTTCCGATTCCCCTTGTGGTGAAAGAAGAAAGAATCTGGAATACATTCTCTGCTTATACTCCTGCTCCAATCGAGCATCATCTTATTCCTCAATGATTGAACTAGATTCAATTTCGAAACGCACGTTCGAATCCTCGCCTCTGGAAGAAAAAAAAGATTGTGGTGAGCTCGCCGACTTAAATTCGTGGGTCATGGAGTTTGAGATTGCTCACTTGGCACTCGTTGGGCTCGACTCCCGGAGTCCATCACTCGGCGAAACTGATCCACTGGGAAACATCTGACCCGTCGCCTCAGACTGAGAGCATCTTCGAGATCAAAATGCCCCTTTGAGGACTCCGATAATGATGCTTCGTCTTCGTGTCGGAGAAAACGATTTACATCACGCGTTTGCAACTAGCTTCGGACGACTGAGCAAGGCTCTGAAAATTCATTTTTGCAACTCGCGATCTCGAAGAGCCCCGTCCGTGTATCCAAGCCACTGCGTCAGCGCCCCAAAACTCTTTTTTTCCGAAAATCGGGATCCAGAAGACGCGTCGCGATTTGCGATACAGCGATATGATGGAGCCCTGAGAGCACACCACTCGGGAAGTCACCCCGATTACCGAAGTAGGTCCCATGGATTTCTTATCAACCCATTTTATTCACGAACTGGAGTGATTCGATCAAACGAGACTTGATTCAGCGTCCGATCAGACGCACTCCCTGGAGCAACGTTCCCGGCGGTTATCGTTATCAGAGCGTCTTTATTCCCTTTATACCCCCCTCCCGGGAGAGCTCAGAAACGCCCTATCGTGCTCGTGGCATTCGTTCCCTGAGATTCCTCCGGGGCATAAAACTTTTCGAGAATGGTTCGGCTGGGTGCTGGGTACACTCTCGCGGGCACCACCCGTTCGGCAGAAATTGAACAAATGGAAGAGATCCGTATCGCGCCGGAGAAATGCTGCGCGAGACTCAACCACCCCTCGCAGGAGGTTTCAGGATCTTTCTGCGCCGTTTCGGACCCCTCCGTAATTTCTCTTGCGAGGGAATCAGCGAGTTGAGAATCGTAGCAAGATCGGACTTCGACGAAGAACCTACATCGGGGAAGAAAATCTTTGCATCAAGATCAGCTCGTCGAGCTAAGCCTCAACATGACGGGGAACCGCACTGGAACTGACCGTGTGAGACGGATGATGCGAATTCAGTCGAGCTCCCTGATTCATTCTCAGTGGTGAGTTTTACTTCAGCTGTGGAGAGAAAGTTCGGAATTATTCGTCCCATCCAGGGCGTTTCTGCAGAATCGAAAATGTAGGAATCGAGTAAGTGTCTCGCGGAACTTATGCGACCTCCCGAGGAATGATTTTCGGACCCCCCGTCCATTAGAACTTGTGGAAAGACCCCCGACATATTGCTTGCGAGGACCATTACGGAACAGACAACGACGACCGCGAGAACTCGATTGACATCGTCACGGGTGAATTTCACTTCTTCTCGTGATGAATTGGAAGCCAAGTCCGGAGATCGACACATTTTCTCTCCCATCGTCGCTTTCACAATTTGCGACCCACGATGAGGGCTCTGATCGCGGGAACGTGAGTATGATGCCTGCGGTGAATCTCGATGAGGGAAAATACTGGTTAATTGAAAACTTCGGCCTAAACAGATGACTCGCGGGAGATCCCCGCGACCCGAGCAGTTCTACAAGAACTTTGAATTGCGAGATCCCCAACCGAATCCGTGTCCCCGATCACGGTGCTGAATTTGCCGTTCACAATCAATGAAGCAATCAGCTCGAGGCTTGATCTTGTCGTTGAAGCTGAGCAATTTCCTCAAAATATCGTCACGTTCACCTTCTTTCAGAACCACCTCCTCAAAAGCTCGAGCGATATCTGACCGATCGTTCTTAAGGCATTAGTTTCTTTGGGCTGATTTTTATATGTACGGATACGGATAAACATCAATCTATTGATCAGGAAATGAATCGACGGATTGCTGCGCACTTTCGCCTGTCTTGCCCGCTTCGTTAGTCGCCATGATAAGTTGATCTCTGAAAGAGCCAGTCGCCACGCGTCTCGAAACTCTCAATTCGTTATCCAGGGAACAGAACGACCTCGTCGCTGCTTCCTAGGTTATCTGTCGATCGACTTAAGGTTTGAAAGGAAGACTTCCGCCGGGAAGGACTCGATGGTTTGATTCATTTATTTCTCCGTATCGAAAAATCCTCCCAGAGCGTCAATTCTGGAGGCTCTAAATTTGGGTGAAAATTGAATCACAGATTCCCTGCAGCTTGCGATTCGGAACAGATTGAGGTCTTTAGGGTCTTCCAGGGATCATGTCACGGGCTGAAACAAACGTCCTGGCTTTCGGGAAGAATCAACGGGCTCAAGCCTTGTGGTGGACAACGTGGAGATCGTGATCATCGTGTCCGTGCACCTGGATCACTTGGGGAGCGGCGGCCGTGTAGGTAACGGGAGCGTGATGGGCTACGGAGTAGGAGACGGGGGCGCTCTGGATGGTTCTCACAACGGTCGGGGCAGCCTGAGTGTATCTGATGACGGGGGCGGACTGAACGGTTTTGATGATGGTCGGTGCGGGAGCGGCAACCCTGATGATGGGGGCGGGAGCAGACTTTACGATGGTCACGGGAGCGGGGGCAACTCGGACGATGGGTGCGGGGGCAACTCGGACAACTGGGGCTGGAGCCTGGACCACTCGGGCAGGAGCCTGGACCACTCGAACGTTTTCACGCGGAGCCTGGGCGCCGTATTGAATGGCGGCCTGCTCCCCAGTGATGGCCGAGGAAGTGTACTTCGCGTCAGCAGCGTCCTTGGATTCGGTTCCAATCTCGTTCGTTGTGACTTCGGCACGGAATCCGCTCTCATCAGCGACGTAGGTCACGGTTCGTTGACGTCCATCGGCCAAAGCGATAGTGTAAGAGCCTTGACGACGGTTGTTGCCATCGGAGGTCTCCTCTTGGCTGTGGGAGCCTTCGGCGGATTCGGCCTTGTAGGCGAATTGGTAGGGGATCGGAGCGTACTGCGGTTCCTGGGCGTATTGAGCGTATTGGGCGGACTGCGGGAAAAACACGAAGATGAGCTTATGCCCCCGGGATTCACATCCCCAAGTACCTATGATCCCTCGCGGAAAAGTTACTGTGCACGCGAAGCGAATTTTAAGAAATCAGAAGTCACTGTCAGAGATTTTCCGGTACAGATCAGGAGCGAACTCAGTCACCCAGAAGCGAGCGATCTCTGAGAGAAAGAGTCTGCAGTATCCTCTATCGCGAAACGAAGAAAAATTCAACTCACTGCACCAACAGCGCACAGGGCGGCTAGAACTACTGAGAAAGCGCGCATGGTGACAGAAACTTGGATCCACTTGCAGATTAGGGGCATCGATGGCCTTTTTTATACAATACTCCGATTACCCTCTTCACCGAAGAAAGAAAGATGTGCGCTTGTTTCATTTGTATTCCGTGCAGCGAAATTTCTTCTGTGCACAGCAGAAAAGAAGAGGGAAGGCATTCGCGCCTGGAAGGAAGGAGCGGGCTGAAGCTCACGCGATGGATTCTCCACTGGATTTGGATAGAAGTACACGCCACAGAAGTCTTTGAACTCCCCGTAATGGGAGGAGAATTGATGGATCGAATGCTCGGATCTACCAGGTACTCGACAGAGATGATGACTGAGAAGCAGGAAAGGCATCCAACGTGAATGGGGGATCGAAGGGAAGAAAATCTGAAATTGCTCAAAGTAGGCTCCGGAATCCGGATACGATTCTCTTCCATGCGAATTTTTTTTTTCGGGAGTTCTCCAATATTTCAGTCCAATCTGATTTTGAAGGTTTAAATTGAGTTGTCAAGGATGCTCCGCATCCAATGATCTAATTTGACATGTTCATTCAGAGCATATCTGGAACGCTGCGTGGTGCCGAGCGACATTTTGCCGTTGCTACTGGTGCGAATTCCTCTGCGACACTGCTGTGGCCTTGACGTTTAAATGTCTACAGTCCGAAATGCATGCTCACTGATACCAAACTGCGAATGAGTCTGGTAGAAGAACGCGGTGGCGGACATCTGTGCAGATCATCTCTTTCTGATTGGGAACATCCTCGATACATTCGTTGGATGTTCCATCAAAATCCATACGCTCCCAGTGAAATCCGCCTTATCGCCTTGGTTCGGAGCAGGTCCCTCGGCAGGAAGGGCCGATTAATCCGAGGGAAACATTATGGATTGCATGCAGAGACCGGGGAAATAAGTAACTCATTGCGCGAATCGATCCTTATCCGTTTGGCCTTCCGTATGGGGACCTGCTCGAAATCCATACACCTTGACACACGACAAAAGTTGAAATCAGCTACATCTATTACATCCCCAGATCACTGACTCGATCGAGCTCCTGAGATGCGAAACCGCAACACCAGTTTCAAGGTTCCCAATAAGCTCCGTGCCACTAGTTCGGGCGTCTCTCGCAGGGTCGATGCATCGTCTCGAATCATCGGCAAATGATTTGAATAAAGATATTTTGTCTGGTAATCAGACCCATGCATCAATCGCGCGCTGTAGAACTACCAGCACGCTTCTCACCCTCCCACAAGACGAGCGCTCCCTAGATGCTCCCACCAGCTCATGACTCGAGCTTTCTCCCGATAATTATGGGGATCTAGACGCCGCATTCACCGCAGAGTATGAGCTGCGAGAAGAGCTCCAGCGATGCTCCGGACGATTTCGCTCGTTCCAGTCTCCGGTTTAAGGCAAGCGAGGCGTCATCGTTATGCAGTCTGTGGCATCTACGATCTGATGATGTTATCTTCGTCGGAGGCATTTCAATGGAAGACAAACGGCAACCGTCGGTGCAATGCCAAACGATAAAGACGGGATCAGAGCGAGCAGAAGATACTGTGTTGGAATGTTGAAGACGCGACAACAAATACTTCTGGAATGGCCCAAATAAAACGGGGTCTGAACATCTCAAAAGAATAACGCAAAAAGCCAATGTCTTCCGAATGGCGGCTCAAATTCAAAGGATTCCCTCTCACGGAAGTGTCTCGCACATTTATGCTTCAGAGATCCAGATACCATCTCTGAAAAGAAGCTTCCGAAGGTCGGGTCGCCATTAGCGCAGAATTAGATGATCCGCTGATGCTCAGGAGTTTTCTGGTCTGGCCAAATAAATCTTGAGAGGAACCCCAGACAGTCGGTTCCTCCAAGGGGCTCAGTGATACATTTCCTCGTATAAGGAGAAATCGGAAGGCCTGATGGCTTCCATGGAGGGTTCCGCTAGCCGATGCCGACGTCAATGGTGACGGGGACAAATCTAGAAAATTGTGAAGAGTTCGGAGCGATTCGAAATCGTGTCCACGGTCCAAGCGTGAGGGAGTCCGAACGCTTTCAGCGTCATTTCCGAAGGTCGGGAAGTGGTTACCGCAGAGCCGCTTATCTGTCGCGCCCACCGCGTCCTAGACTTGCGGGGCTCATCGCCCGAGAATAGCAAGGATCTATTTTCGCAAGCGGTGAGCATGATACGATGGAGCTGTTTCGATAATCCGTTCGAAAGATTGTCCCCCAACGACCAGGACGAATCAAGGGGGAAATCACTGGGACAATGGTCAATCTGATGCATCGGAGTCATGGAAAGTGCGATCACATGACTTCTCCTGGAATATTGTGGACGATGTCGGGATTAGTCCGATAAGTTGCCTATCACAGAAATTTATCACCTGAAGCGATAATGATCCCCACGATGCAACAAATGGCGCCATGTCAGGAAAAAACGCTGATCTGTCGTCGACTCCGTTCCTCCTCGCATCCCGGCGATATCCGGCCTACCCTGGACGTACGATGACGGTGATTTGGATTTGACGACACTTGAACGCAGCTAATCGAACAAATCAGCAGCAAATCTAACGCAGCTAAGAAAGCAGATATGGATCCATGGAGGGAAGAACGAAGCACCGCATCAATCAATGTGAGGGAATCGCATCGAGCGTTGCGGATCTCTTCTCAGGAAATCTACTAGGATGCTTCCTTGTATATTAGCCCCGTGAATGCTCGGATTCGATTATTTCCACGAGGGATCGAGCCCCGCGAGCTGAGGCGCCTGCTTATTGTCGGTGCCTCGGAGTTCCAGAAACGCACACAGTTGAATTCAGAATTTCTCGATTCTCAAATCGCATGAGGTTTCGACTTTTAGCGAGACTCCTAGTCTCAGCTCTTAGGGATATTGAGACACCTGATTTCTACATTGCTTCTAATTCAAATTCAAATTCAGAATCGCGTATAATCGATATGAAGACCAATCCGTTCGAGTCCACGGGAACTTCCAATGACCCCAGCGAAGCCATAAGGAAAACAATGCAGAGCTTTTCTGCTCACATGCCCGTCGAAGCTCAGTCAGAATCCCTGCCCCAGCCTGAAGACCCCGGAGGAAAAGTTCACTCATCCGAACGCGCAACTGTCGGCAGTTCTAAAACCTGAAACCCATTTTTCACCGCTGGTTTCACCGCGTAGTGTACACCCGACAGTCGATGAGTTTGTTGCAGAGCGCCTCCAACGATTCTACGAAATGAGATCTCGGCTATCCGCTCCTTACTCTTCAAGATCAGAGACAGGCCGAGCCGGAGTCAGTTCAAATAAAACCACCCCTCGAGGGCAGAGTTGCGGCTATGCCTGGCTGATTGTTTTGGACTCGTTGTTCCAAGCTTGTCGAATCGCGCCGGAGAGATACATCGTAGTCGAGGCTCTGCCTCGGCTGCTCAGAAGATTAGCACTGCTTGATGCGCGAACCGAAGTCTTCCCCCTGCTTTCAACGGATTGCTTGCTGGCGACTGCTAAACTATAAGTTTAGTTTGCGTCGGTCGCCTCTCCGTTGCGGAAATACATTACTCGCCTCCAGAATAGACTGGAACCTTCGTCTTCCATCTGACTTATTAGATGGAGAAGGATTCTCAAAAGCTCGTGCCGAGGGACAGCTCGCTGCGAGAATCGGGGTAATCACGGCAATGGATATTCCCAACAGGAGTCTTCGGATGTTCATGATTGTTCAACGTGAAGTTCTCGAGCATGACAGTCGTGTAAATCAGGAGAACATGCGGCAGCGGCGGATCCAGGGTGGGCCGAGGGGACCATGGCCCGTCTGAAAATTCTTTGTCCTGATACCGAACCGCGAGGAGGTGGAGAAAAAGCTCGGTCAGCCCCTCATACGGGGAAACGGTGAAAGAGGAAATAATGTGGTACGCGCGCTTTGCCATGATATGATCCACAGGGTCGATACGGTTGGAGACACACCTTGGATATCGAGGTCCAGAGTGTGTCTCGTACGGGGATTTCCTTATAGTCCAGACCCAGACTATATTCGGCTAAAACGACTCACCAATTCCAATCCGGGGATAGTGAGTCAGAATACCTCTATTGAAGATGCGTACAGTGAACTCCGCTTATTGGGACCACCGGACAATCGGACCCTCGCTTGATCGGACCGGAATCCGGATAAGGTTCCCTTCAAAAATCCCTCCGCTCAGTCGGACCATCCGCCTATTAAACCCGACATGGCTCGGTTCCGATTTGGCAAGGCGAGTTCACTGTATCTGCATAATTGTATCACAATGTCTGTCTGCGTCGGGCCCCCCTTATGAAGAGGCGCCTGAGGGAAAATTGAGACTCAATCGGGCATCCTCTGCAGAGCGACCCCTATCAAGTTATACATTGACGGCCACCCTCTTGGAGGGCATTCTCCGAAATCATGTTCCCATGGCCGAATCAAAGCACGACAGAGGGAAAGTCCGCTTCAGGTGAGACATTACACGGACTCGTACGGTACGAGATCGTCCGGCGCCGACGATGAAATCACAATTTCTCTCCCACGAACGGCAAGCGAAGAGAAGTAGTTACGCTTACGTCAGTCAGAGATTAAACATCGAGCCGTCCTAAGAGACTCGATAACAATATATATATCATATATAGAAAAAGCAAAATATGAAGAGATCATTTCGACTTTTAGGCGACAAATTTCGAGCCTAAGAGGTGGGTTCCCTACGCAAGCTTCAGATGAGAAATGGAGGAAGGCATGCCTCAAACGACGGACGGCAGTCGGGGGAATCACGGTCGCTGACATACACAGTGCGCCTTACACACAGCAAAAGGAGCTGAATGAAAGCAATTGGTGAAATAGCTAGAGTGAGACGAGAAGAAAAAATTCTTCTACGGGTTCTATGCACGTAGAATATACGGCGGCTCGAGGATAATAATCTAGCCTCGCTTCGGATGCCGCAAGACCCCGATTCACGGCAAGGAGGTGCTCCGACGGAGGAATGAACATAACAGGGTGCTTAACTTTCGCCATTGACGCACCTCCGCTTCCTCTACAACAGAGGT